GCTGATTTACAAAAGTATTTAGATCATTTAGTGAGTTGGGCGAATAAATGGCAGATGGGTTTAAATTATAATAAATACAAGACAATGCATATGGGTTATAATAATTTCAATTATAAGTATTATTTCATTGGGAATAACATTAACAGTCATAAAAGAAAGGGATCTTGGTGTAATAGTTGATCAGACTCTTAAGCCATTCAAGCTGTGTGCTGTTGCTAGTGATAGGGCAAATAGGATTTTAGGTTGTATCTACAGAAATATTGAATACAAGTCTAAAGAGGATAAAATTTCATTGTGTAGGTCACTGGTTAGGCCACATTTGGAATATTGTGTTCAGTCTTGGGCTCCGTACCTTAGGAAAGACATTGAATTGTTGGAAGGAGTTCAGAGGAGGGTTACAAGAATGATGCCTAGGATGGAGGGGTTGCCATACGAGGAGAGGTTGAAATATCTCAAAATGTTTTCTGTTGAAAAAAGAAATTAGAGGGGATCTGATTGAGGTGTTTAAGATTGTAAAGGGAATTTACAAAGTGGGTCATGGGTTGCCTTCGGATGTTGTGGAGGAAGTAAATTTAAATGAGTTCAAGAGAAAGCTTGATAATTATATGAATGATAAGGGCTGGCTTTAAGATTTTTTAAACGTTTATTTATTAATAGTTTTAGTTTAGTTTAACAGATGGGACAGCCAAGATGGACCAGTGGGTCCCATGTTGTCCCAAAACATTGTTATTAAAAAATAACGCAAACATAGAATATTGTTAAAACTAATCATTTGCACTTACCTTCAATTGACCTCTTTTGTATGTCATCGTCATCCAGCAAGAAGGATTGGTTGTTCAATATAAGAAATTAAATTTGAATACAGGCAGCTTTCTATAATCAAGAAATGTCATTGGTTAAAGATACCGAGCAAAATTTACAGAAAATTTAAACTATGCAGTTTGCATCAAGTAAAGAGCATAAAAAAAAAATACCTTCCTTGAATTACTTTTCAGAATTGTCTGAACTTAGACATAAACTATAGTTAGGCTTGTCAACTATGTCTCAAGAAAATTTTAGAAATTTAACAACCTAAAGTATGATAGAAATACTATATCAAATTATGTAAATTTTGTTATGCCAAAACTAGATGCTGTATAGTAAGTGTATATGAGATTTCAAGCAATTGATTAAGTCTCACCATGACAAGAATAAAAATAACCAGGATAATGGTGACATCCCTTTGACCCAGAAAAGGTGAATATAATACTGAAAATCCCAGAATTATCTTCTATAAATTATGGGTCTTAGGATATTGCCCCATAAGCATGCAGGGTTCCAGGATTGCAACACCTAATGTGCATGTGGGTGTGTGAGTTTATGGAGGCAAATTTGATGTCTCCTCTCCCACCTCTGATATATTGCATCACACAACAATCAGGGGAGGTGGTAACTCTCAGTTGAGACTGTCAGTGATCTGATTTGTATTGAGATGAAGTCTTATATTCAGATATGTGGTGGACCTCCAGGGGGTCTAAGGCTACCATTAAGAGCAATCCTTGACATTTTGTAGATACTTTAGATTTGGTTTTCTATCGTCTTTTGGTATGTTTGATATCCATCCTCCCTGTTGGGACAGTGGTAGATTTACAGACTTGCAGCATGAGGGTCCATGGTTTGGTTCTCTAGGGTGGATGTGGCAGATGGGCCAAATTTGTACTTTACCTCAAAAAATGCTGTTCCATGAAAAATGAAAAGTAGGCCACTTTTGGATAAGCTGCCTTTGATTTGTATTTCCTCTGTTACTTCTTTGATTGTGTAATGTTTGGGGCTTTTTGCAGTTGCTTTTGAGCCAGTGACTTACTTGATGGCTGAAAGGTCAGAGGGCAAATTTTTAGTTTTTTTGTTTGTTTCTTTTCTCCATACATAGATATTGTGGTTCATGCTAGAAGGTTTATTTCTTAGTTACATGAAGGGACAGTTAGGCCTTATCTGACATATTGTTGGAACTTTGTGATTTAGCCTACTATCACCAGGTGGAGGCATTTTTCTGACTCTTAAATAATACATTTGCTCCTCGAATTTCATGGTTCTGAGGTGGAGTTTGTAATTCACCTATATAGGTCTATGTCACCTGATGGGACAGAGTAAGTCTATGGACTAACAACTCAAATAGTGTTTCCTTTCACTTCTCTTCGTAGAAGACTCAAGATCACCAGCTTCATTGATTATGAGCTAGATCCTTTGTTAGCATGCATGTTGGTTCAATTTTCGGCTTTTACATTCCTCCCGGTTATTGTTGGAATCTTGAATTTCATTGGCTCCTATAGGGGGGTCATAGTTCCACCCCTCTTCATGAGTATTGATATCAGCCCCTCGGTATATTGGTACTCAGAGTATATTCTGTCTATATTCAAGGTTTCCACTGCTTAGTCTGATTGCTGGCAGCATCGGTGATTATTGTATGCCTTCAGGGGATGTGAGGGCTCAGTTCCAAGAATTTCTGGATGTGTGGTAACCTTAACTAAGAGTCCAGGAGCTCTGCAGGTCTTAGGTCACAATTGGTCATTCAGTTCACATCTTCCCCACTTTTATCCACCCAACCTATAGGGTTTCCATCTCCTGCACTTATCTGAGTTTGTTTGGTCTAGGGGTAGTGAGAGAGCCAGGCTAGTTCTTCAGTTGTTGGGCCTGTTGGACCGGATATTGGTGTCCAATCATCAGTCTTCTTGTCAACATCAATGCCTAGATTCTCCACGATTCATAAGTTACTCATTCCTCAATCTGTGTTGATTTTTTTTTTACTGGAATTGTAGATGTCCAACTTTGTTGTAGTTGGCTGCTATATGTACTTTGCCTTAGCAGTGGAGTCCACCACTCTTGGCATTTGTGGTGCACAAGGGTCAGGTACTGCAGTTCCAGGTTTTTTCCTTCTGACTTGCATAGGCTTCACATGGGTTCTGCCATATCATACGAGTTTTTTTTTTTCCTCATCCACTTCATTTTATTGTACTGTGTACACACCATTCCACAGACAACAGGTTACTGCTGGCACCATCTCGTCAATTGTTAAACCATCACATTCTGATTATACTTTCACATATAATCCAGACAGCCTTCCCTTTAGGGACTATGACATCTATTCTTGCTCCAATTCAATATCTTATCAGTCTGGGTATTTGTTATTTCTCATCTCTCTGTCAAACTGAGCTGTCTGCCATCCTGCTCAACATTATAGAATAGGACACCACTCTGTTACTCATCTCTCCTTCTCCCATTACTTGGACAACAAGGATTCCATACACATTGTTTTCATTCTTCTTGCTTTTCAAGGCAAGGCCTCATGGTCTGGGCTTCTTCAGACTTCACTCTGACTATTCTGTGGTGGTGTCTTATGTTTCTCATCAAGAAGACATCTTGTCTAGGGCTCCTTATTTTCGTATTTTGGACCTCCTTTTTTTTGGACTATTCCTATCTTATCATCCTACGAGCTTCCACATGTTCCACAGATGGTGCCTGTGATAGTAGGTCCATTGTCTCAATCCAAACGGATTCTCCCGACAGAATAGATGTTGCATCATCTCAAGGTTCTGTTGGATTGGTGAGTTGACCTCTTATTGGATTACCCAACTACTGGCAATTTGGTCTCCAGTATCTCATCTTTGGGCTTTGGCAATAGCTGCTTTCCTTCTGGACAAGATGGGATTACTGCTCTAAACCTTCTCACCATTTCATATGTTACTCATGGTAAGAAATATGAGTTGTTACAACCCACTATCAGATCTTGCTGATAGCACCAGATTGGCTGCTACACCTGGGTTTCTGCTTCTGAAGTCCCTTCTGGTGTGTTCAACTCTTCCACTTCTTTTTAGGCTTTTGCTGTGGAAGCAACCATGATCTGATATGGTACACCTGGCTATACAGAAGCTCAAGCTTCTGGCATAGAGTTATGCTGTCTTTCATACGGTATTGGGGTTTAATTTCTAAGGTTGATTTGTATCTGTCTCAGTTTCTGGTTAGTCCAAAAGACACTTTTATCAACAATAATGACATGCATACTGGCAATGTTGTTTTGTGTGGAGGTTGAACCATTTTCAATCAATGGTGTCAACTATTACTCATTTTCTGACTTTGCTCTTTGACAGAGGATTTTGCATCTTCCACAATCATCATTGTTTACAGTGGCTTTATCGACTACCGTTCAGTTATCTTGACCACGTATTTTTTGAGTCCCTCTTCAGATTCCTCATATCATTTTGGATAATTGGTCCCAAATGACCATTCCAGTTACCTACCAGGTAGATTAAGGTTACATGTTCTGTCTCTACACCAGTTTGTGACCTGACTCTTGTATGCCGTATATCCCCTTTACCTGAAGGTTTATTTTTTGTTGCTGCTGACCTACGGACATCACCGGTTGAAATGATTTGTGCCTTTGTCCACAAACCACTTTCTCATTCTCTCTATGTCCTCAGACCAGTTCTTCTTACCCAACACTCTATCAGATGGGAAATGGGTTCATTCCTTTTCTCCAATTCATCTGCTCACTTTTTCTCTCCACATCCAATCAGATTTCAATTTTGGTTATGTTCAGTGAGTGGAATGCTCCTTGCCCACTCATTTTGGGAGTGAGTATGAATGTTCATGATTCCAGATTGGATGAGTTCTGTTCCTTTGGTTGAGTATTGCATACACTGTCTCATCATTTGGAGCTTGGGGTGTTGCCTTTCAGGCTTCTTCAAATGGAGGAGGAGGTTTTTTGTACCTCAATGTTGCTTACTTTATCATCGTGATTCCAGTGATTCGGAACAGATCATTCTATGGCTACAGGTTGGGATTCAATCAATAGTAT